TTTTCCAATAGAAATAACTTTCCAATTTTTTTTTATTATTTAACATAAATAATTTTCTCCTTTTTTTCACTACCGGTATAATTATTTCTCATTTTTTCTTACTCTTTAATATGAAAAAATTTTCAGTGATCCCCTATTTTTAATTTTTTGTTTTAATTTCTCATTTATAATTTTTTCGTTTTTTTCCTTTTTCACGGTATAAAATCAATTTCGATTTTCTCTTTTTCTAATAAATAACATGTTCCCCAATGTTCTCCTATTTTCCAATATAAGAATAATTTTCCTATACAATATACAATGTTTTTTTTCCATTTCTTTTCTTTATTTCATAATATGTCAAAAGAGCTTTGATTTTACAATAATACATAATTTTTCAACGTTCTCCGATTTTCCAATGCCAAGAGATTATGATAATATTCTCCTGCCAATACCGTATAATAATTTCGCATTTTCCTAAGTTTCTCGTAATTTCTAATGTAAAATGAATTTCCCATTTTCTCTGTTTTCCAATAAAAGTTTTTTTTCATTTTTTCCCCGAAATTTGTTATATTTCCCAATAAAGAATAATTTTAATAATAGAACAATAGAATATTTTCAAATGTCATCTTTTCTCCAATATACAGTGATTTTTTTTCTTGTTTACCGATGTAAAGAAGTTTCTTTTTCAAGTTCCTATTTCCAAAAATAAATTATTTTCCAAAAACACTGTATAATTATTTTTTTTAAAGATCATAGTAAATGTCTCTCTACTGTCAATTACAGTAGTTTGAAAACATTTTTTTCCAAATTTTTTTGAGTCGGGCTATTTTACTTCCTTTGAAAAGTTATTATTAGTTAATTTCTTTTTCATTGGTCTGTCTTTCTCAAAACTACTCGAAAGTACAATTTTCCTCTCGGCGATTTCTGCCTGGTTCCTGCTTGTCCAGAAAGCATAAATATACAGTTTAAAAGCGCAAGATGTGTTCGTGACCCTCTGTGCCACAAGAAAAAGCAGATTAAAACGATATGGATAGGAAAAGCGACTTCTGCCGCCGAGATAAATCTTCGAAACACCTAAAATCGACGATCAAAATATGGCGGAACTGTACCGAGCCGAGAGAAACTGGGGTAAATAGGCTTCATGTACAAGAACATTTTCTGTCCTTAACAACAGGCAGTAACTAAGGGCTCGAACCTCACTACCCGCTTCACATTACATGGTATACTTCATTACGAACTTCGCATTACGTGGTATAGGTATGACAACCATCTTATTTCGAGATGAATTACATGACATGATGATATCACATTAATTTTTTCCGACCTATTTCGACCTGTTTCATGTGTCTTTGACATTTGATGAGTCGTAATATGTCGTAATATGTCGAAAGTAATTTTGCTACAGATGGCACGCAAATCCCTTAACCCCTTTCCGCCAAAATTGTTTTGGTTTAGTTGTTTGCTTCTATAGTAAGGCTTTTGGATGAGAAACAGTAATAATGACCGCTACAAGACGTATTTTATGACTACCGGCGCGACAATGGCAGAGAGTTTGACTTTTGCCTGTTTTGAGCTCTCTAGCTCTTCTTGTGGAATGCCGTACCCTTGGCATGTTCCTTTTCAACCTTGGTATATGTGATGTGAAGCTTTCGTTATTTTATTTCAAAATTGCTTAAGTTCTTGATGAGTAAATTAAAACGAGAAGTCTTTACAGTCTGAGTGAGGTGCATTTGCTGCTCCAGTTTTCATACCTTACGAAAACCGTCCGCTCAAACTGATTTACAAGCACATTCTTGAAGTTTGTCACGATAAGCAGGTTTATTATATGTAACTATACAATATGTTATAATTATTTTTCAGGCTTGATGTGTGTAGACAAGCGTAAAAGTTGTCCATCGTGGGCTTCTCAGGGTGACTGTAAAACTAATGGCTGGACTGAAAGAAACTGCCGCATAAGCTGCAAGACACGGTGTGATACTCATCCAGTCAAGCCTACAGGTAAATAGAATTCCTCGTTTTCCCTAGCTTGCCGTTTTTCACTCCTCTAGACAATTATTCTGCATGGTCGAGGCAGCTCCATGTTGAAAATAACCCGTGCATGATTTACTTTCAATTGATAACGTCTTACAGAATTGAACCTCAGTTTTATATTTGACCATGCAGGTTCTTGTTCTGACGGTCTTGGTCTTGGATGGCCTGGAAACTACCAACTACCCGACAGCGCATTCAGCGCGTCATCGGAATACAGGCCCGGTGCGTTTCATTTGTGTCAATTCAATCAATCTTAATTGATTTTTTTTTTCTACCAGTGTCGCGCTGAGATTAGCCACAGGCTAAACTAAGCAACGTAGATCCTGAAGTACGAGCAATATGCTGAGAATAAATAAACGTTTCTGAATTATCTCTAGGCACCTGGAGGGCAACGGCGGATAATGCTCGTCTTTACTTTGAGGACGATCAAGACAACAAGAGGATTGGAGCGTGGTGTGCCAATGATCGAGACAACCAGTGGCTTAAGGTTGATCTTGGTAAAACTAAGAGGATAAGGGCAATCACTACACAAGGTAACAAATTAAAACAGTTATCAGTGATACAAACAATCATAATTTAAAAAATGAAAATCAGTATTTACCACGTTCACGGTAGCTTGCTTTCTCTGCCGACCACTCCTGTGGCGCTTTTCTTTCCTGGCGAGTCTGTTCACAGGGTATACCGAGACTCAAGCTCCTTATGTTGAAAGCTCTC